CTCTTAGTTGACTGTTAGGAACCTGATCCCCTGTGAAGCTTCCCTTCAAAGCACATGCTGCATGTCAAATCCATACAGCTGAAGCAACGGAGCTTTATTAGCTCTGGGATTTAAAGGCCTGCGCTAAGTGATATAACAGTATATTTGGTGTAAACGCAGAGAAGAATAGCAGAGGAGAGGAGCATAGTGATGACATGGAGGAAAGTGTGCCACTCTAAAAATTCTGGTCTTCCTTTCTCTAAGGATTGTAAATTTTCCACTTACAGAAGAGGATTATTTTTGTGAGCCGGCTCCTTATGATTCTCTGCTATCAGTGGCAAATGATAGGAGCCTCATTGTCAAGTATATAGTATCTTCAAATGTTTCAACAAAACAGCTATATATTGTATTGACAGAGAAATTGTGGGATGTTAACAAAATAATACATTTGAAAGATATTAACACTAAATTAACTTTTGTAAAAGCCGGCGAACAAATTGATGTATATCATTTTCCCCCTTCCAATCAGCAAAATTGATTAAATTCATTTGTTAGAATTAACATATCTGTTTAAAAATAAGAAATTTCAGAACTTAAAATTCATTTTCTCCTTAGTTTGTTTCTGGTACACTAAGTAGTTTCAGACCTCAATTTTTGACATGAAGTTTTGGTGTTAAACATTTGTTTAATGGAGTGTTTGGAAAATGAAATAGATAGCTTCTTAAATATATTTGAAGATGAAAAATACCAGTACTGTAGAAAATCTGGCATAAATACTGTATGGCAGTTAATGACTTAAGCCACAGTTCAGTGAAAACTGTGGCCAAAACACTTCAGATAAAAACAAACAGTGAAAAGCGTGTGTGCAAATACTCAGCCAAGATTTGTTTTTCTAGATTTTCCCCCTTTATGCCTCTCATCTATTTAACAAGTGTGTGAAAGTGAAAGCATAGGTGCAGGTATATTTCCACTTATCTTATTGTTCCTGACCCTGAATGAGTGCCTTGCTGGAATACATAAAACGAGTTGCTTTGAACATGAAACATGAAGTCCTTTTGACCTCTGAGGTGATTATTGATCGTGGGTTGAGCTCTGTCGATATTCACCTCTAACATGAGCCATTTCCATCTGTTAACCCTTTCCTAGGATGGCTATATCTACATGAGAAACCCTTTGACTGCTGTATCCTCACTAAAGCAAAAAGAAATAATCAGTTCCAAAACACATGAATTGTTCACAGCTCTGTAGTTAGTGGGAAAAGATAATGCTTTCTGCCTACATAGAAATCTTGATGCTTTGAGAAATAGGACATTATTAGAATTATAAAATAGGGGACCAGCTAAAACCCAGATCTGGCAACCTTTCCTCCAAATGTCTTCCAGATCTCTATTTCCAGCCTTGAAAGTGCTACATGCCTCAGTAAAGACCTCTTTAAAAAAAAAAAAGATGCAACAACACTTAATAAAACAAATGTTCCTTGCAAATTGGTTTTCCATTGTTCAGCCATTTCCTTGGGTTAGTCACACATTTATTGGAATTACCTTGAGATAATAATCACTGAAATGTGTTTTTGTCTATTAATTATATGTAGATCTGCAGATGAGACTTTGGGTTGGAATTTATATTTGGCCTCTTAAGAAAGTCCTTTTAAAAACATTTCCAAATTAAGGAGGGAGGATATAAGACAGTTCAATACAATAGAAATATATTTCATGTTTCAATGTTCAGAAATTGGACTATTTAAAAATATTTTTTAAATTTCTCTGCAAATTTAAGTTACACTGATATACAGGCGCAAACAATATACTAATCTAGGGGTGCAGTGGGTGCCTTGTTTTCATGTGATAACTTGAATGTATGGCTAACAGAGCTCAAAGAGAAAGAGAGAAAGAAAAGAAAGAAAATAGATCCAAGAGAGAGGAGGGGTTTCTCCATTGTTTGTGCTAGAGTTTATTTCACAGAAGAAAAAAACAAAGAACAACAATTATACTTAAACATTCATAAACATATTTAAACCACAATTACATAACTAGCTACACAACAAACACCTCTACTCTAAGTTTGTATTTTGACTTTCCACCAAACAGTGCTTGAGCCAATAACAGAAACATAAATGCTATAGCAGAGCCCCCGGTAGTGCAGTGAGTTAAACTTCTGAGCTGCTGAACTTGCTGACCAAAAGGTCAGCGGTTCCAGTCCGGGGAGCGGGTTGAGCTCCCACTGTTAGCCCCAGCTTCTGTCAACCTAGCAGTTCAAAAACATGCAAATATGAGTAGATCAATAGTAGTAGATCCGGCAGGAAGGTAACGGTACTCCATGCAGACATGCTGGCCACACGACCTTGGAGGCGTCTATGGATAACGCCAACTCTTCGGCTTAGAAATGGAGATGAGAACCACCTCTCAGAGTCGGACACAACTTGACTTAATGTCAAGGGGAAACCTTTACCTTTACCTTAAATGCTATAGCTCTTATTTGTGTTTTACTTTACATGAAACTGTATTTATTTTCCTGAATGTGAATGTGATCCTTGCCTTGCTGCTAGTCAGTGGAGTTTGCCTCTGGGTGCAAGTGAGAGCTTCAGAGGTCTACAGGGGCCATTTCAGTAGACTGACTTATCTGGGTTACATTATTATTTAATCTTTGTTTAATTTTGTCGTAGCTGTTGTTTCCTTTTGAGATTTGATTACTCTGTTTTTCTATTTTTTTCAAAATCTATTAATGTGTTTGGCATTTTTTTTAGTTGAAATCTGCCCTGAATCCCTTTGGGGAGAGAGGGCGGAATATAAATAAAATTGTTTATTATTATTATTATTATTATCATTATTATTATCATCATCATCATTATTATTATTATTACAACTAAAAATGTTGCTGCAGCAGGATGGTACTACTTAGATAATACATCAATAATTGTTTTAATTCCAATTGTCCATTGGTTTCTTTTGTACTTTATAATTTTTACATTATTTAAATATGGTGGCGTTATTTTATTCATTTGTGTTTTGCCTTTCTCTCAAAAATGGAATTCAAGGCAGCCTGCAACATATTTCAAAACAGTTCAGATGTAGAAACTATTTTTCAAATCTATTCTGTTATTGATATCTCTGCTATATCAGACCTAAGGCTTCATCTGGTCGAGTATTTGCACATACAACAACTACCATTCAGAAAATCGGTTATTCCCCCTATCTTTTCCCAGATAGTGGTGTTTGGAAACATTGTACATCCTGAAAGGCTGCTTACATTCTCATTGGTAGTTATCTAGAAACAGACCTGGATCCAGAAATAAATCAGAATTAAAATACTGTATTTTATGCTATGTTTTATTTTGTGTTGGCATTGAATAGTGCCTGTTGGTAACTGTTCTAAGTCCCTCTTCAGAAGTTGAAAAGGACGGGATATAAATGTTCCAAATAAATAAATTGAGAAGCTATAGCCTGTCAAAATCAAACGACTCTTAAAGACCCTAGACCAGTGGTTCTCAACTTTTCAGTCCCCTGGTGTTTTGGCTTACAACTCCCAGAAATCCCAGCCGGTTTACCAGCTGTTAGGATTTCTGGGAGTTGAAGGCCAAAACATCTGAGGACCCATAAGTTGAGAACCACTGCCCTAGACAATCAGGCATTTCACAATAAATGTCTTTTTACTGGGATTTGTCTTACATTTTTCTCTGTCCTCCAGTTCATCAGAATGACTAGATATTCATTGAAAGATTGAAGGACACATTTGTTTCTTAAATTTATATACATATGTTTAATCAGCATACCACTGAGCAGGCCCGTAGCCAGGATTTCGTTTGGGGGGGGCCTGAATTTTTTTCGGGGGGGGGGGTTCGGGGGGCACATAATCACAACACAATTGGAATACTATTTCTGCCATAGATTGATACAATTTTTCCCTATCTTCCTTTTCCTCCCTCCTCCCTCCTCCCTCTCTCCCTCTCTCTCCCTCCCTCTTCCCCCCCCCCCCCCCCCTCCCTCCCCCCTCTCCCTCCCTTCTCCCCTCTCTCTCTCCCCTCTCTCTCCTCCCCCTCTCTCTCTCCCCCCTCTCCCTCTCCCTCCCCCACTCCCTCGCCGCTCCCCTCTCTCGACGAGCCCTCCGCCCTTCCCCTCTCCTCTCCCTCCGGGCTCATTCCCCCGCGTGAGAACGAACCTCTATTGTCCCTTCCCCGTCTCACACAGCCTTCCCGGGCCTCTCCGGTCCCCCGCCGCGCCCTCTCGAATTCCAAACCATCCCCCTTTTCCCTCTCCATCCTCTCCCCCCCTTCTCTCCGTCCTAAAAGAGCATACGGAGACTACTTGTTTCTGGCGAAGCCAGGCTTGCTAGAATCTCCCTATCACGAGTTCTCTGGCATCCTGGTGTTGTGTATCCCCCATCGGTGGGTGCGACAGAATCTATGTGCCCGGATCCGGGTACCTCGGGCGGGTCTAGAAGTGTGCGGCTACTTTAGACCAAGCCACATATTCATACGTTTGTTCGACTACGGAGGGTAATCATCGCATGGCACGGAAGCTTGTTCGGCTATTACAATTGCTTGCTGGTCGCGCACATTAGTCAGGATTTGTGGGGGGGGGTGATGAAGAGCAAGGTTTTTGGGCCGGAGGCTGAAGGCCCCTCCAACCCCCCCCCGGGGACCCCCCCCCCCCCGCCCCCCCCCCCCCCCCCCGGCTCCCCCCCCCTCCCCCCACCCCGCCCCCCCCCTCCCCCTCACCGTGGCTCAGCAGTTCGCGCACCCCCCGCCCCCTCGCCCCCCCCAGGCCCCCCCCCCCCCCCCCCCCCGGCTACATGCCTACCACTGAGTTCAATGAGAGTACACACTCAGGGAAGTATGGGCAATTTCAGGTTTAATTACATAAACAAAAAATGCAGTTAGATGACCAAGCATGGTATAGCCCAGTACATGATTTCCATTCTCTTCCTTCCAATAGATTTGTTTAAATTCTGCTTAATGACTGCAAAGTTAAAAGTCATAAATGAATGGACAGGTATTAAATGAAGTCTGTTTGCTTATCTTGCAGGACTCCAAAGACAGCTTGAAGAGCAAATGGGCAAGAAAGCTCCAGCTTTAGTTTTGGTACCTGTGGCAGGTTTACCAGGCAACAAAATTATTCGTGTGTCCTGTTGGCTGAGCCAGTAGCTAAGGAAGCACCTACAGTTTGTGTCTTCATTCATCTCAAAGAAGGTTGTCACATGAACATACTGAAGATATAAATGTCTGTTCATTGTCTCATATTAACAAACATGACTACACCTGTAATCTTTCACACACAAAAAGTAGTTTCTTGCCAGTTTTTTTTTTGTGAAATTTTGGAATTTTACCAGCATCTGACAGAGAAGTGGGAAGCAACGTCAGTAACTCCCAAATCTTTATGACCTTCTGTTTTTGTAACCGAAATCACACTGAGAAGTCAGACAGAGCTTCATTTTTAATGTGTACTTCACAGGTAACTTGTCAGTAAAATCTCCTTCTACCAGCAGCCAAAGACCTTTTTATTTTGACAGGCTTTTGGTTACTAAATGGTGTTTGCAAAGGAGCCTTTAGAGGAAAGAGTTGCAATGCATTCACTTTGTTATGTTTTACATTCCTTTAAAGTGTCTTAATTATTTCTGTTTTAAATAGGATAGCTTATTTCATTGTTTTTATTATTCTTTTGTGCTCCCAGCAGTGCAGTGGGTTAAAGCGCTGAGCTACTGAACCTTCTGACTGAAAGGTCACAGGTTCGAATCCATTGAGTGGCGTGAGCTGCCACTGTTAGACCCAGCTTCTTCCAACCTAGCAGTTCGAAAACATGCAAATGTGAGTAGATCAATAAGTACCACTCTGGCGGACAGGTAACAGTGCTCCATGAAGTCATACTGGCCACATCACCTTGGAGGTATCTATGGACAACGCTGGCTCTTTGGCTTAGAAATGGAGATGAGTGCCAACCCCCCAGAGTTGGACACGACTAGACTTACTGTCAGGGGAAAAACTTTTACCTTTTATTATTCTTTTATCTTAATTATTGTTCTTTGCTGTACTATGCTGTGAATTACCTTGGGTACCATGCTGAATGAAAGGCAGAATATAAATGAGAGAGACTGGAAAAAATGCTGGCTTACTCCATACTTCTTCCAGTGACTGTGAGCCAAATTTTCAGCATGTAGTCCTTACTAGAGGATAAGTGACTAAGCCATTTATACTGATAATGCTCCCATTAAGCTCAATGCACTGTACTATGGTGAGTACAGTAAATGGCCTCATCTTGCCCTGAATCCAAAGCCCTACACACAAATGAGGAGGCCATTGTCAGCAGTGAGAGAGAAAGAGCTGCAGGACATCAAGGGTCTCATTCACATCCCATGGCTGACAGCAGGAAAACCTAATTGAGTACTCAAATTAGATCCGCTTCCAGTTCCTTGTTAAAGGAAAAAGCTCCAGAAAATGCCTATTGGCATTCATCTTACAAAGCCAACTCTGAGGTGAATGTATGCCTTTACCCATTGCCACATGTATAGCTTTCCTCTCCAAGACTGAAATAAGACCCATCGGCATGGATATCTGTGAGGTCTGCTGGAATTCCTGATTGGTCTGTGGAATGAAACATTAACTCCTTATGCACATTTTCATGTGCAGAGTGTGGAACATTACTCTTTTAGACTGCAGTCACGAGATTGCCAAGTCAGTATGGCCCCTCTGTGTACTGACTTGGGAATTTCCAAAAGTAGTGGGAGAAATTCACACAAGTCCTGGTTTTTAAATGGAGATCTTCATTCACTGGATTCCAGTGAGAGTTAAAGGTGAATTCTTAATAGGGCTCCTTCGAATATGAGCTATGTTCTTTCAAGCTCTCTGGAAAAAAAAATTGACCACAATTTATGTAGATAGGCTTCAAACTGGTCCAGTTTTAGAAGGTGGAGGACATGTAGTATAATAATAATAATAATTGTAATTTGCAATATTTTGAACAATATCAGAAATTCAATATGAAATAAGCACTAGACTGAGCCCCATTTTGTTTTCCCATTATATTACATGTATTCTGTTGTAAATATTTCAGTATTAAGGCTACCAACATATCGACATAAGCTATTCCTTGTAATGTTTTTTTTCTTTTAAGTGTCATTTTTTGCAAATATTTGTCTGATTAAATCCATTCTTGATCAACTTTGTATGGAATTCCTGAGTGTTACTTAACATGTGCTTTCAAAACAAGCATCTCCTTCGTCACGCATTCTCCTGTTGTATGGGGTTGTCATTCATTCTCCCAACTGAGATATTTGGGATATACCTTATGCAGTGGCATCGATAGGATTGGAGTCACCCAGTGTAATAATTGATAGTGTCATCCCATGGAGCTCAGACCATACTAGACCAGACCCCACAGTATAGTAGCTAAAATAAAAAAGTAATAGTCTGTGGATATTAAAAACAAAAAACAACAGTGTGCTGGCAAGGTGTGCAATCAAAGTCACATGATTTGAAGCATAATTGAAATTGGGTAATAGTGAGAGCTCTGACCAGGGAGTATGTCCATTTGAAGGTTCCAAATGTCATTTTGCCTTGTAGGTATATTGATACAGTATATGTAATCTGGGTTTATGAACAATGTTTCTGTAGGTCAGCATTCCTCAACCTGGGGGTCAGGACCCCTGGGGAAGGGAGAAGGAGGTGTCAGAGGGGTTGCCAAAGACCATCGGAAAACACAGTATTTTCTGTTGGTCATGAGGGTCATGGAAAGTTTGGCCCAATTCTATCATTGATGGAGTTCAGAATGCTCTTTGATTGTAGGTGAACTATAAATCCCAGCAACTACAACTCTCAAATGGCAAGGTCTATTTCCCCAAGCTCCACCAGTGTTGAGTATTTGTGCCAAGTTTGGTCCAGATCCATCATTGTTTGAGTCCACAGTGCTCTCTGAATGTAAGTGAACTAGAACATCAAAAATCAAGGTCACTGCCTACCAAACCCTTCCAGAATTTTCTGTTGGTCATGGGAGTTCTGTGTGCCAAGTTTGGTTCAATTCCATCATTGGTGGAATTCAGAATGCTCTTCGATTGTAGGTGAACTATAAATCTCAGCAACTACAACTCCCAAATGACAAAATCAATCCTCCCCCCCCCCCCCCCGCAATCCCGCCAGTATTCAAATTTGGGTGGTTCAGTGAATGAAAATACATCCTGCATATCAGATATTTACATTATGATTAATAACAGTAGCAAAATTACAGTTATGAAGTAGCAGTGAAAATAATGTTATGATTGGGGGTCACCACAACTTGAAGAACTGTATTAAGGGGTCACGGCATTAGGAAGTTTGAGAAACACTGCTGTAGGTTATATCTAACTACAGGGATATTGTAATAAAATATCTGCAGAAACACTTCACAAATATTTTGGTGTCACCCCACAGTGGTTTGAACACATGCACACTTCTCACCCTATTAGTGACATCACTGACTTTCTGCTTATGGATGTAGTTCATGAATACCTACTGCTGCTGTAGCCTATTTTGCTATGATGAGATCTATAGTGATGATGAGAATGACTGAACAGTTCACCATATTGTTGCATCCCTTCACACTTAATGTGACACCCCCCCCCCCCCCATGTACAAACTGATGCTTATGATAGGGAGACATCTTATCTGACAGGAGCAAATAAAGGTGTTCTTGGAAAAAAACATTTTAAGAATAATCGCAAGCACTGCAGAAAGAGAACAATGGAAAGAGGAAAATGTTTAAATTGTCCCCTAATATTGCCACCAAGATATTACAATCCTAAGCATCATATTTTCCCCAAACGAAATGGCTATGGCATTGACTAATGAATGATCATTAGTAAATCAGTAGTAATATTTTTTTAATATCTACAACTTTTTATGGCTGAGAAAAATGTATTTGTGTGAACTACTTTGGTTTAAGCTTTGAAAACCAAGCAATCTCTGTCTCGCCCTATTTTATTCTGGCCGTGAAATCATTTTCCGTATGATACAGGTTTTTTATTTGTTGAGACAGTTTTAATCCCATGGTTTGATCTTTTATTTTGTGCAGAATATAAGAGTGAGCAGACAGTAAGTTACCACGCAGAACAGGATGAAGGTCAGACCTTTCAGGTTTCTGAGAACTATCTTATAGATGCTCCTGAGTTAGATAGAGCTGTGATATGCATGCAACAGTTTGAACAAGTAATGCTGCCACTTTCGTGCTCATCTTTGGAACTGTCAGGGTATGGGGAATTGCTTAACTAACACAAATGAAACGGCTTGCTAACATCAAGGAGTCCAGAAGTAACTAACTAGCTTACTAAGGCAATCCCTCATAGCTCAAGGATGATGGTCCTCCAAGTGATGTGTCTTGGCAATGGGTCCATAGGTAGCTGTGGAGACCTGTTCTTGATCTGCATGTTCTTCTGCAGTGAGGACATCAGTTTCCAAATGGAAGGTGGTTCCGGTCAGGGTTGGCTTCACGCAATTTCCTCTTGGCACGTTTCTCTCTTTCTCCCTCCATTTGTGCCTCTTCAAAGTCTGCAGTACTGCTGGTCACAGCTGACCTCCAATAAAAGCGCTCAAGGGCCAGGGCTTCCCAGTTCTCGGTGTCTATGCCACAGTTTTGTGGTTGGCTTTAAGACCATCTTTAAATCCCTTTTCCTGTCCACCAAAATTATGTTTCTTGTTCTTGAGTTGGGAGTATAGTAACTGCTTTGGGAGACGGTGATCGGGCATTTTGAAAACATGGCCAGTCCAGTGGAGTTGATGACATAGGAGCATTGCTTCAGTGCTGGTGGTCTTTGCTTCTTCCACCGCACTGACATTTGTCTGCCAGAGGTAACTGAAAGGGAAACCAAAATATACCTCCTTCTTACAGAAGCATTGTATTGGATCACACATCAGACATTTCCCAAGTGTCTAGGATATGTGCTGTATCGGCGAATAATGCATGCAGATCCCAGTAAGGTGGCCTTTTCACCTCAACATTCTACCTTTTATTTTTCAGTGATTGGGGTTTTTTTTGGGGGGGGGGGTAAAATACAGTTTGCTTACACTTGAAAATTACCCAGAGCCGGCCCTATATGCCATCAATTCCACTGGACTGGACTAGTCCGAATACCCGATCACTGTCTCCCAAAGCAGTTACCATACTCCCCAACTCAAAAATGGAAAACATGGACAGGAAAAGAGATTTAAAGATAGGTTTAAAGACTTTAAAAGCTGTGGCATAGACACCGAGAACTGGGAAGTCCTGGCCCTTGAGTGCTCTAATTGGAGGTCAGCTGTGACCAGCATTACTGCAGACTTTGAAGAGGCACAAATTGAGGGAGAAATGGAGAAACATGTCAAGAGGAAGGTGCGTCAAATCAACCCTGACTGAGACTGCCTCCATTTGGAAACCAATGTCCTCACTGCAGAAGAATATGTAGATCAAGAATAGGTCTCCACAGCCACCTACGGACCCACTACCAAGACACTACACTTGGAGGACCGTCTTCTTCAGACAACAAGGGATCACCTAAGTAAGTAATATAAACCTCCCTGGCCTAATTTCCAACAGACCCCTCAACCTCTAAGGTTGCCTGCCATAGATGTGGGTGAAACATCAGGAGAGAATGCTTCTAGATCATGGCCACACAGCCCGGAAAACTCACAGCAACCGAACACTAACTTTCTCTTTGTGTCTTTGTATCTGCGTTAAGTCCATGGACAATGTATGTGATATAAATGTAGCAGAATTTTGTTGTTTATTTTCAAAATTATATGGTATCTCTACTAGTTACGTTTCAACTCTTCTATCTTTTAAATGTGCAATAAATATCATTTTTTCCGTTAAAAAACCACACAGGTCCAAGAAAAAAGTATCTTAAAATACCAATTTTGTTTTTGAACTCACATATGTTATAAGAATAATACCTACCTTATGAATGGTTTCCTTTATGGGAAGATTTCCGATAATTCTGATTTGTTTTTTGCCTTGAAACATCACACTTTCTCTTAAATGTATTATCTAGGTTTTCCAAAGTTTGTTAGTAATAGAAACAAGGCAGTTTGTTCAATACTGATAAGCAACTTCAGGGTTGCTTGTGCGAGAAACCAAGACTTATATAGCGGAAGGAAATTCTTTATACCTTTTTTTATCTTTTCTACCTTGCACTCCTTTTATCATCGTTAAGCAGGCCTGCTACACTGGAGAAGTTTCACAAAGTCCTTTTTTGCAGTCTCTTTGTGACTGGGGTGTGTGTTCTGACGTGGGAGAGAAATGAAGTCAAGAGATTTAATATTTGAAATTTATAAACAGTAAAAAAAAAAACCAAAATACAAAAGACTTCATGGGGTTGACAGTGCAATTGATTTTACCTCGACAGGTTTTGATCTCAGAAGTGTAAATACATATGCCACAGTAAGACATTAGTTTTGAGGGCTTTTTTAAATAGATATGCAAACAAAGAAAAAATTCTGTTTCTTTGATTTCATTAAAGCCTCGGGAAAATTTACAATTTATTCATGTTATGACACACAAGGTATGTTGGCAAAGATCCCAGTGCTGCAAATGCAAGCAGGAAGAAGAGAAAACTTCAGTCTGAAAGGGAAGCTTTGTTAACAATATATAACTTGGAACTTTCTTTCTCGCTCTCTCTGTCTTCTTTCTTACTCACTTGTTCTTTCTGCCTCTGTGTATAGAAGGTGTGCCAAAACAATGTTAATAATAACAGCATATCTATTTTTCCTGCATTTAGGAAATATTTTCCATATAATTTAGGTCACGGTCTTATATATCCTTAATTGTTCGTCCTATTGAACTGAACGGATTTTTTAGCAGACACAAAAGGGATTGCGCTGTGAATCTTTAGCTGAAGAGATGGAGGTTGAACAGAACCGCAGCACAAGGCTGCAGGAGGGAAACTAATAGGATATAACTTTGTCTTTCTCTCTTTCTGAAAGCTGTCGAGATGATAGCTACGATTCTAGTGAGCCTTTGCACTACACATGGCTGAGCTGCCATAAAGGCATCAGAGCCAATCTTCCTAGATAGGTTAAAAGATGACACTGTGGTATTTTAAGCAGGTATTATGGGGCGGGATTTCTCTCATTTTATGGGGAAGTGAATCAAAGTCTGATTTGCTACACCAGGTATCACTGGTGCATCCTTCTTCCCAAGCTTTGGGTGCCTTGTGG